TCAAATGCTCAAAATGCTTCCTTTCCTGTAAACTGCATAAAATGATTGTCCTTTCAAAGAGATCTTTTCATTTCAGGCATGTGGAGTTCTACATCGAAAAGCACCTATAATAATTTCTCTCATGTTGTCGACAAAATAGTTGGTCGAGTTTAGGGAATGCAATCCCGCACCAAAATCTCAATCCCGCAAACCCGCGGGATTAAAGCAATCAATCCCGCGGATCCGCAAAAGTGCGGGACTGTAAACAATAGTCATACATTTGGTCCTAAATGGTACAAAAGGCATTGTACATTTTGCATAGGCCCACAATATATTGATATAGCGTGTATCTTAAACTAGCTGTACAGAGATTTGGACCGATTTATACAGGGTGTTCAAAAAATATATTTAATATTAAATAAACTTAAATTTTATTATAATTTATCTACTTATTTTATAAATAAAAATATTATTCTGATGTTGAAGTTTTTTTTTAAGTTGTGTTAGTTATCTGCTTTTAGATACACTCTATATTAATAATTTTTTGGCATATGCAGAATGTACAAAGCTTTTTGTACCCCTTAGGACCATACGTATCACTAAAAATGCATATTTTTCGAAAAAAAGTCAATTTTCCTTAAAACAAAAAAAATAAAAACCGATCAAATTGTTTTTTCTAATTTCAATACAGATTGTACTTGATAAAAATTTCGATTTTTTAAAACTCGTAAATTTGCGGTAAAAAAGATTCTTGACCAAATTTTCACTCTCTTATAAAACACTCTGTATACGAGAATTCGCTAAATATATTTTCGAAAACCACATAGCATCTTAATCACAATAGATGCATCTAAAACCTGGTCCAAACCGCATCCCAAAATTTTTTTTAGTTCAAGAGATATTCAACTTTAAATTTACCCTAAAATTTTGCTTGTCCCGATAATTATGTCCGGCAGTTTATTTGACGAAATTGTCCACCAGTAACGGGTCCCCCGGGTTACGAGCGTCGACTCATCGGCCCGGAACAAATGGGTTTGACCTTGATCGAGATCGATTCGGTAAACCAGTAGTAATGTGTCAATCCCGCGGATCCCGCACGATAAATCCCGTAACTTCGATCCCGCGGAATCTCAGCATTTGCGGGATTGCATTCCCTAGTCGAGTTGTTTAAACACTGTCTTTAACATATCCCCATAAAAAAACAGACTAGATAAAATCAGGAGCATTTAGTGAGATTCTGTTAATTGATATGATTCACACTGCATTTACCAAGTAATAGAATCGTATCAATTCTCTCTGATTCTCTGAAGTTTACATTTCCGGCAAATTTATGAGAATTTTTTTTCTTTTAACTGACACAAAATGATAACTATAGTTGTTAAAGTTGGATTAATTAGGCAGCTATGTTGAAGTAACGTCAGACCGAGATTTTATCAAATAATAAAGATCTACTCAGATCAAAGCATGTAAATGAAAATATCTAGGAAAATCTTTGTTTGAGGGGTAGGAAACCTTAATAGTATTTTGATCATCCTGTATAACTTTTTGGATCAAGTTTTAATTTGATTTAAAGTACATTAGTTATATAAAACTCTTCTTTATTGTTCTCCCAGAATCCGAAAATCGGTTAATATATAGGGTGTTCTATTACAAAAAATACAATTTTTTTGGGGGACATCCTGTAGAACTTTCTATATTTTTAAAAAGTGCTCCGAATTAACCTAAATATGCTCACAAAATTTCATTTCAATACAAACTGTCGTTCTCCTTTGAGCCTCCGCGGCGTATGAGAGGCGCCACCCTGTATAGTATACATTGAATAAATAAATATACTATAAATAGTAAAATTACAATTTAATAATTAAAGTTAACTTTTATCCAGCTTCATCGTACTGCGCACGAGCAAATATTATATTTTTTATTTTATTTTATTTGGCTGTATGAGCACTAACAAATAAAAATTATTCTTTATTATTATTTGTCATTACTTGGCTCATACTCTTCTTTATTTCGATCATACGGTATATATTATAATATTCTACGCAACTATAGACCAATTATAGGTATACCTGGATGCGTCTCAAATACAAAATTTCAGCTCCAAAAAGTTATACAGGGTGTGACAAAATTAATATTTAACATTGGTCACTTTAAAAGCAAGTCTTTATTTTAATTAGAGCACCTAGTATATTATTCCAATATTAAATGGTGAATTTATGTCTCTTCAAAATATCGTTAAGGTTGCCTACCTCTCAAACAAAAAATTTTCTTGATATTTTAATTTTTATGATTTAGTGCTTTCCTTATGAGTTCTTCAAAAGTTAGGTGAGTCCAGTTTCTGATGTTTCTCAACCAAGATAGTTTCTTCCTGCCGAGACCTCTCTTTCCTTCAATCTTACCCTTACCTATCAATTGTAAGACGTGGTATTTTTCATTTCTTAATATATGCCCTAAGTATAATGTTTTTCTTATTTTTATTATATTGAGCAATTCTCTTTCTCTGCCTATTCTGCTGTATTTGTATTAGACTTCGGTATTTGTGATATGTGGATTTAAGTAACATAAATGTTACTTAAATCTACGCAAGTATTAGTTGTACAAAAGGCGACCTTATTGCTGTGGTAGCAATCTCTTCCAGGCAAACTTTGGGTGAGAGAGAAACCGAAATAGTGATATTTTATAAGAATATAAAAAAACAATAAAACAATTTTATTTATTTACTTATTATGAATTAGTAAAATAAATTGATAGGTTGTAGTCACAGAAATTGACAGTTATTTGGTCATCACATTCCAAGTCTTTAGTTAGATCACAATTTATGGAAAGAAGTGATAAACTATTTAGTCGATGGTTAGACATTGTTGTCCTATATTTATTTTCTACATAGGACATCTTGGAGAAGGAGCGTTCTGCTTTACAGCTAGTGATTGGCAATGTTAAAAAAATCTTTAAAATGGTATAGCAGTTAGGGAACACGTTAATAAGTTTATTTTCATACATGAGCATAAAAATGTCACTGCAAGAGGTGTAAGACTCAGACATAGATTGGAGTAAGTATGATTTTAATTGAATGCACTCATTCACTAAATGCTCGTCTACGTCATCGGGATTGTAATCAATAATATGAAGTGTAATTTCCAAATCTATGTTTTCGATATTTTTGTCTTGCAAATCCATTAAAAATTTGAATTTCTTGCTATATGTCTCATAGACTTGTCTCCTTTTATTTAAATCCATAATCAGCTTATCCAACGCAACTTTTAACGTGTCTCTTTAAATCTTTCTGCGCCGTATACTGAGAATTCACCTGTAGACTTATCTGAAAATTTTGGGATAATGCATCTCTTGTTTATGTAATTGTAGTCTATTATTACACTAGTACTTAATTTTTTAGCTTTTTCGTCGTATTCCTGTAACATTTGATCTGATTGATGTCGTATGTTGCTCACAAAGTCTTTTAAAGAAACAATTAACTTGTTGCCTTCACAAATGTCTAAACCAGGGCTCTGTATTTTTTTATTAACTAAATGAAATCTCTCCAAAACTTCTTCCCAAAAGATAATCAAAATTGCAGTCTCGAGTTTCGCCATTTTATTGAATAAATTTCGTGCCTCTTTCCGGAAATCAACTTTCTCAACCTCATTTTCGCTGAAACTTTTGAAAATTTTCATAATGTCATCATAATTATTTTTTAAGGCTTTGACAGCATCATAGTGGCAAGGCCATCTTGTCTGGCTTAAACTTTTAACCTGAATTTTAATTTTTCCATTTCACGATTCAACGGTTCCCACCTATGGGTCTATTGTTTTTCGCGGGGCCTGGGGGCCCCTTGTAACCTCGGGGCCCTGGGCTGCAGCCCAAACAGCCCGTAGGTAGATCCGGCCCTGTACGCAACTATAGACCAATTATAGATATACCGGAAGCGTCTCAAATTAAAATTTGCTCCAAAAAGTTATACAGGGTGTGACAAAATTAATATTTAACATTGATCACCTTTAAAAGCAAGTTTTTTATTTTAATTAGAGCACCTAGTATATTATTCCAATATTAAGTGGGGAATTTATGTCTCTTCAAAATATCGTTAAGGTTGCCTACCTCTCAAACAAAAAATTTTCTTGATATTTTAATTTTTATGATTTAGTGTCGAGTGGATCTTTATTAGATGATAAAATCTAGGTGGCTGTTATATGTTTGACGTTATTTCAACATATCTGTCAAATCTATAACAGCTAGTTACCATTTTGTGTGAGTGCTTACTCTATATCCTTTAATTTTTGTTAAATTAACAAAAGGTGTATCAAAGCCACTATGGTTTTTGCTGCCGAATTACTAGAATACAATATTTCAAGGCAGATGACGGATCTATTCGATAATTTTTATTCGAATAGTTTTCAACGAATGTTTTCTTACTAACTATCGAATTATTCGAATGAATTGCAACTATCGAATGTTTCGATAGTATTCATTCGATAGTTCCCACTACTATCTATAACATCTCTCTATAACATTCATAGAATATAGAAGTATGATAGATAATTTTGATTGGATGTCACATAATATGTAAGTTTTTGGTAATTAGGGTATTAATAAAACAAAAGCCATTTTCAAAAAAATCATCTCTATATTTTTATTCGATAAAGATTTGTTTATACATAGAAAAAAAGAAATCTGTTTAACAAAAAGAAATCGCGCCATCTCTCATATCTTGTCTTAAACCATAAATTTTATGTACACAAAAAACTGTCTCAGCATGAAAAAAACAAATAATAAATTTACAATTTTCATTTACAAAAAAATCTATATATTTCGGTACTATCCAACGATGTTGTACCACATTCTCATCTCATTATTTTCATCATAACTATATATATTATTTTGTACAAAAAAAATCGTCTTCGTCTATACTCCTAACTAAACCTAAGCTAAAATAAAATCACAGTAAAATAGTCACTAAATCATAAAAAATCTAATAATATTTTTGTTTCTTTTAATGTCCTGATGATTAACAAACTATTGTTTGATTTTAAAATATTGTTATTTTTACATAATAAGACAACAGTGCCCAGGTGTTGACAGTAAATGCTTTTGTCACACGATAGGCATTATTGTATATTAACATACTATTTTTTACTTTATCATTATTTTGGGGCAATTTTTTATACAAAATGTTAAAGCTTTAGATGTTTTTTTTTAAATTGTATGGTGTTAGCAATCATAATGCCCTGTAATGATAAAGTAAAAAATAAGACATTTAAATTTGAAATACTCTTATTACAATTTTTTTTGAAAACTAATAAACATCTATTTAAATAACAAATTGCAACGGAACAGGTACCGTAATTATTACGTAAACAATCAAATCATTCAGTGATCTAACAGGAAAAACTCAAACCACAACAACAAGTCAGCATTTCCTCTGTCTGTGTGCATCATGCACACGCTACGTCATTATATTCATTATCTTTTATAAGGTTCAGTCAGTCCCATTTGATTTTTGATAAATATAGAAGCCCAACACGGGCTTAAATATATCGATGGTCTATGAAGATGTATATACATTAAATTTTGGTGGTCTGGAACGAAAAACCATACGTTTTTTTTCTTAGAATTTCCAATGTTCCATTGTCGGGATTTAGCTGGACCTCGGTCTGTCTGATGGTGTTAGAGCTTCCGTCGTCTGTAAAAAATAAAAAAAAACTATTAGTTAGTGTGTACTGAAGGGACACGTGTGTGATAGGATGCACGTGCGTTTTTGATATGCCAGATGTTCATACAAGAATAAAATCGCAGAGAAAAAAGGATCCGTTATATCGAGAAGTCAGTCAATGGGATTCATTGAAAAAAACTCACGTACCGCGCCGTATAGACGAGCCTGGTACTGCCTGCTGTAACGGAACTGATATAAGCTTATACAGGGTAAGTTCGTACGTCCAATAGTCTGAGGGCTACCTGATAAATGAAATATTTGATTTTGATGTCAATATGAGTCCTACTTGTAAAGAGCGCCAACTATATATTTTTAATTGGTTTGAAGAGTAATAACTCTTCGCCCGTACCTGTATAAAACTACTGAGTAAAAAAATATACATTTACGGCATTTTTTACGCGAAAAAGGTCTCTTGGTAAAAATCGCTACGAGTAATGGTTTTCGAGATATTTGGAATAGAAATTATCAATGCCTGTCATCATTAACATAAACTAAACATGTTGACTAAATAGTTCTTCTTCTTCTCAGAGTGCCGTCTTCATTGTTCATTGGAGGTTGGCAACAATCTCGGCGAACATCTGACGATCTTGGGCAGCTCGAAATAACGAGTGTGCATCCATACCCGTCCAATCTCTGATGTTTTTCAACCATGAATGCTTCTTCCTACCTATACTCCGCTTGCCCTCAATTTTCCCCTCCATTAAATAGTTATTAGACTGAAATCACAAATTTGAAACGATTTTGTGTCAAAACCACAACGTTGTGTTTTACCATCATTTTTTTCGAAGAAAAATTTATGATTTAAAATTTTATTTTTTTTTTATTTTTTAAAATTATGATTATATTTATGATTAAGTTCCTAAATTTTTCGTTTCATTTAAATAACCATCTACTCGACATGTTTTTTTGTCAATAATGACATGTATTGACTACTTCCATTCTAAATAGTATTTTGAGAAAGGTTGCTCGTAGCGAATTTAACCAAGAGACAGTTTTTACGTAAAAAATAACGGAAATGTATATTTTTTCATTCAGTAGTTTTGTACAAGTACGGACAAAAAGTTATTACTTTTCAAAAGAGTTAAAACACATGTATGTGGCGCCCTCTACAAATAGGAGTCATCAAGTCAAAAGACACCAATTTGCACTAGTAATACCACTAGAGGTCAAATTATTTCCGGAAATTTTTTTGAGCTCATGAATATTTTGAAAATTACCCTGAGTCGAAGACGAGGGATAATTTTCTAAAAATATTCATGAGCGAGAAAAAATGTCCGGAAATAATTTGACCTCTAGTGGTATTCGGTAAGAAAATTCCACACCAAATTGTGTTTGAAAATCAAATAATTAAAAAATATTTTTCGATTTTTGGTCGAATTGATTATTTAGTTACTATGCCAACTAAGTGACACCCAAACCATTGGTCGGCAAGCTCCGCGCGCCAATTTCAAATTGTCAAACAGATGACATAATAAATGTGAAAATAATTTTTCAAATGTCAAGTTCGATAATTTGACATAACTTTTGGGGTTATGTCCTAATTCTTCCCTATTTTATGTCTTTTTTTATTAGTGGCAATTGGACAATATGAATATTTTTTTTGTATGGCGTATGACGTCACAGGTGGTATGCGCAAACTTAACGAAATTGGAGCCGCTATCGATCATACCTTGTTTTCTTTGTACCATGCCTAAAAACTATTTCAGTTTTGAAGCTGCCAAGCGGCACGGCTTGGCAGCAGAAGCAAAAATGTTTCGCTTCGGTCATGAAAGCAAAGAAAATATTCGCCAGAAGATTAAGCAGTTGACACCCGCGAATACTAGGAAATCGAAGTCAAAAGTATGAAAGCAGTTTACAAACTCTCATCTCAGCTTTGTAATTAAAATGTATCAAAATTATCATATAAACAAATAAAAACCAGACTCTCAAAAAGATATTCTGTCATTATAAACGTCAAAAAATTTCCAGTATAATTCGCTGTTGGGTGCCCACCATGATACAATAAGGGTTAGATAAGATCCTTGGCGGTCGCAAATCTGTTCTCCGCGCGCATGACGTCACTCGGGCAGTAATTTTCTGTTAAGCTCCGCCCACTACATGCGTAATATCTTATCTAACCCTCTTTGTATTATGGGTGCCCACAAGGAAAAAATTTTTCTACTTTAGAAATTATTTGGACAAAATCGAAATAAAAATAAAACTTCTACACCCTGTATCTCCGAAACTAAGCAATTTAGGACGTAAATTTATACGAACTATTTTACTTATTTTTATCTGCAGAATATGCTGCCAAGTTTCCGGAATACAGTACGGACCACCCTGTATTTACTTCATTTCTTGTTCCCTGCTTCTTGGTTCAGTATGAGTCAATATAGATTAAAATTCTGAATAAATTCTTAAAGCTGATGCCCTGAATCATTTTACATCATGGCTCTGCGAAATCTCTCTGACATTTAGAGATAACCTTTTAAATTGCCAGGTTTGTTTATAATTCTTCATAAAATTTCGTGACTTAAGTACTGTCCTATAGTCACCAACAAATTGTGGTCTTCAAGTGATAGTTATTGCCAATTAACAATAAAATTAGAATAAATATTTGTAGTAGTTTTCACTGTCATATAATTTGCAGCTTTACATTTAATAACAAAAATAAGAGCAGATGGTGTTACTCATTTGACTGTGGAAAAGTTAACTTTCAGACACTCTGTATACACCTGCACCCAACCGGGAATAACGTTTTTGCGATTTTAAACGACTGCTTTCTAACCAGACAACAACAATAATAAACAAATAAAAAAATAGAAGAAGAAAAATAAATATGTGTTTAACAAGCCATTTCCTACTGAAAATTGAATTAAATCTTCTCAATGAGTTCCATACAAATACCCTTATAGTACGTTTATAGAAAGGCGGTACGATCGCTCTGAACAACGGTAGTACCAACGGTAGTAGATAATTTTGTTAACAAAAAATCTTTAAAATAATTTAAATGTTCAGAAAATAAAAACAAAGACAGAAATAAATCATTATCTCATTTTCAGGTTATTCAACCATTTCCAATTATAGTGTAGCCTTCCTCACATATTGGGTCCATTGATGGCTATAGTTGGGCTATGCGGGCCCAAGTTATCCCAGCTAATTTCCTAATATCATTGTCCCATCCCAGGTCTGGTCTTCTTCTAGGTCACTTAATTCCTCCATCTGTTGTTTGTCCTTCTTGTCGTGTTCTTGCCACTTGGGGGATTTGACACTGTGGATGATATCTATTGCCTGAGTCTTTTGTCGTGTCCACTTTATTCTTTTACGGTCTTTCTTGGTTATTCCCGGCATATTTCGTTCCATTGAGCGTTGTGCGATCTGCAGTTTCCTTATAATGTCCATTTTAAGTGTCCAGGTTTCGCATGCATGGGTCATGACTGGTAGTACACATTGGTCGAATGTTTCCTTCTTTAGATAAAGTGCCATTCTAGATTTGAATTTGATTGTGTTTCTTTCATAAGTACTCCATGTTAACTTAATTCTTCTGTCGATTTTTGGTAGTAGAGATCCCGAGCTGTGTATTTTAGCTGTCCCAAATATATACAGGGTGGTCCGAAATGTATTCCGGAAACTTCGGTTACATATTTTGCAGATAAAAATAAGTAAAAAAGTTCGTATAAATGTATGTCCTAAAATGCTTAGTGTCGGAGATACAGGGTGTAGAAGTTTCATTTTTATTTCGATTTTTTCCAAATAATTTCTGAAGTAACATCAATATTCGAATGAAAATTGGTGTCCGCCGGTAGTTTTTTGACATGAGAAATTTGATTTTTATGTCATTATAACTAATTTTTGTAGAGGGCGCCACCTAAATGTGTTTTAACTGGTTTGAAGAGTAATAACTTTTTGTCCGTACCTGTATAGAACTACTGAGTGAAAAAATGTAAATTTTCGTAATTTTCTACGTAAGAAATGTCTCTTAGTAAAAATCGTTATGAGCAACCCTTCTCGAGATATTTAGAATGGAAATAGTCAATACATGTCATTATTGACAAAAAATAAACATGTTAAGTAGATAGTTATCTGAATGAAATGATACTAATAACTATTTGTCAACATGTTTAATTTATGTCAATGATGACAGGTATTGATCATTTGGATTTCAAATATCTCGGGAACTATTACTCGTAGCGATTTTTATTAAGAGACCTTTTTTACGTTAAAAACGTCGTGAATGTATATTTTTTACTTAGAACTGTTATACAGGTACGGACGAAAAGTTATTACTCTTCAAACCAGTTAAAATATGTAGGTGGCGCCCTCTACAAGTAGGAGTAATATTGACGTCAAAATCTAATTTCTCATGTCAGAAAACTCCCAGACATCAAATTTCGTCCAAATATTGACGTTGCTTCAGAAATTATTTGGAAAAAATCGAAATAAAAATGAAACTTCTACACCCTGTATTTCCAAAACTAAGCATTTTAGGATATACATCTATAAGAACTTTTTTACTTATATTTATCTGCAGAATATGCTGCCGAAGTTTCCGGACTACAGTTCGGACCACCCCCTGTATATAGTATATATTCTTCTACTATTTCCAGTGCTGTGTTATTTGTCAGAATGTCTCTTCTGTTAAGTTAGTTAGTAAACAGAAAAAAACAGGAAAGATAGAAATTAAAGGTCTAAAAGTTCTAGAGTGTTGTTTTTTCATGTAAAAATCTGATCCTTTGTTTCTGGTTAACATTTAAAGAAGTTTTATATTAAATAATTCGCTTTAAGAAAACTGTTGAAGCTTAAATTCGAATTTGTAATATTAGAAACTAATGAAACTCAAAGAATTTCGGACTTCCATTGTATTTATTTATTTTGATTAACACAACGGTTCGGTCAGATGGATAAAATGGACATGTAAACACGGTTATTATACACTTAATCAGTTTTTTATTTCTCATTTAGGATTAGTTAATAGTCTTTGTATTTTCAGTATCACATATTAATAACTTAATCAAGGTTTTTGGAAATTTTATGATAAGTATTTGAATAAACTATTACTGTGAAATGTTGCGAGTAAATTAGCAGACTAAAATAAAATGACATCATTTTGATGTCTCTTACTGGAATTTTGTAATAATAATTAATTTATATGTAGACTAAATATTAATATGTAACATTTGTGACGTATTGACCTCTATTTCTTAGATGTACTTAATATGATTCCAAGTAAAATTACGACAAATTAAAAATATTTAATCTTTGATATACAGTGATGCAAACTTTTATTCATTAAAAGGTTTAATATTATTAAATAAAGACATACACTACATTGGGCTGCAGTTATAGTTTTAAATAAAAGTTATTAAGAGTCTACCTATTACGCTGTACTTTCGGGTCGCTTTCAGGGGTCGGGTAAGCGGGTGTGTGGCTGAAGGAAATATACAGGGTGGTCCGAACTGTATTCAGGAAACTTCGGCAGTATATTCTACAGATAAAAATAAGTAAAAAAGTTCGTATAAATATATGTCCTAAAATGCTTAGTTTCGGAGATACAGGGTGTAGAAGTTTCATTTTTATTTCGATTTTTTCGAAATAATTTCTGAAGTAACGTCAATATTTGGATGAAAATTGGTGTCTGGGAGTTTTTTGACATGAGAAATTTGATTTTGATGTCAACATGACTCCTACTAGTAGAGGGCGCCACCTACGTGTGTTTTAACAGTTTTGAAGCGTAATAACTTTTTGTCCGTACCTGTATAAAACTACCGAGCAAAAAATATACATCTCTGTGATTTTTTACGTAAAAAATATCCATTTGTAAAAATCGCTACGAGCAACCGTTCTTAAGATATTTAGAACGGAAATAGTAAATACATGTCATTATTGACGAAAAATAAACACGTTGACTAGATATTTATTTCACTCAAATAATAAATTTGGGAAATTTTTATTTTTTTAAATTAATTATAAATTTTTCTTCAAAAAATAGTTTCTGTTGAACATTTGGCACAAAAACATTTCAAATTTATGATTTGACTCTAATAACTATTTAGTCAACAAGTTTAATTTATGTCAATAATGACAGGTATTGATAATTTCTATTCCAAATATCACGAAAACCATTACTCGTAGCGGTTTTTACCAAGAGACTCTTTTCACGTAAAAAACGTCGTAAATGTGTATTTTTTTTTACTCAGTAGTTTTATACAGGTACAGAAGAAAAGTTATTACTCTTCAAACCAGTTAAAAAATATGTAGGTGGCGCCCTCTACTAGTAGGAGTCATATTGACATCAAAATCAAATTTCTCATGTCAAAAAACTCCCAGACACCGATTTTCATCCAAATATTGACGTTACTTCAGAAATTATTTCGAAAAAATCGAAATAAAAATGAAACTTGTACACCCTGCATCTACGAAACAAAGCATTTTAGGACATACATTTATACGAACTTTTTTACTTATTTTTATCTGCAGAATATGTTGGCGAAGTTTCCGGAATACAGTTCGGACCACCCTGTATATTTTATTTCAGAAATCTGCCTAAGGCTTAGCCCGATCCTGTCGTGTTAAGCCACAACCAAAATTGCAAACACATGTGCTTTGATTAAGGTTTGCAGAGCTTCAGCATTTGCCATAAAATAGCGAGCAATTTGTTACAAAACCATATAAATTATATATCACCGTAATCACAAAACTTCAATCTATTTCCGTATTGTAACGGAATTTTAAAGTATGGCATTATTTTCGAGAAAATTTAGTCCAAACATAATGAATATTTTGTTGATGTTTGACCATCCAAATCTTAAAAATAAAGAAGTTGTCTAAAAATGTGCTACAATACGGGTATAGTATAATTCTTTATCTTTAATTTCATTCCTCATTTGTGTAAAAATACCTAGACAGTTTTACATAAAACGTTAAATGCCGAACGCTTATTTTGCTACTTTTTCGGACTAGCGAAACGGACTCTTAAGAAAGCTACATAAATAAAATCTCCGAGCGAACGCATCTTTGCCTGTAAGTACCTATTGACAGACAGACTCACAGCTGTATATTGCACGTGTTTTCTAGCCGAGCAGCTGCAATGTAGAGAGAGAGGTACGATCTTTCAATATCGTCCTGAATTTTTCCTATTTATAATGGTGTTGATTGTAATAAACTGTACGTACGTTTATATACGGGTTGGTGATATAAGGGAAAGTTTCATATAAACGGAATTAAATGTTTGGGCTGTCTTGTTTGGGCACCATTATTTATTTAGTCGAATGTTCTTCGTGTTTTCGTGTTTCCTGCTTAGGTCATGATGTATTTTGTTATTTTTGTTATACGTGAGTTGTTCTTTGTTCTAAAAATATTTAGGACAGGAATTAAGGTCAATCATACCGTGACAAATTATGTTTTACTTTGAGTTTTAAATCATTTCATTTTTTAAAAATCGTACTAGCATCAATAAGCCCATTTGAAATATGTTAATCATTCAAAACAATTCACACCTACTTATGGCAAAGTAGGTATGTAGTAGGTGAGTAAATTTTGTTCAAATTCGTGATTGTATAAGAGTTTTTCTCGGGGTTTCTATAGAAAATAGAATAATAAAGGTATTAATTATAAAAACTATTATTTTATGGGAGTGCAAAAGGTAGAGTTCATATTTGTGCTGTCTTGAACTCCAATCAACAATAGAATAAGTAATGAGCATTATTTTTTAACACCTATGCAAGGCAGTTGCCCAAAAGTACTGTAAGAAAACAGTAGGTAATTATTTTGTTGGTCTTAGTTTTATTTCTTTCGTATTTACTGAATATACATAACTCACTCAATAATTAGAGTTAGTACATAACTATGTATATAGCAGAGTATATAAAGAAATGCATACACTGCATACACCTAGTTATGTTGTAAAATAAAGGTTTGGAAGAAAATGAAAATCAAATTGTCCAAAAATACACGAAATTTCTTGAATTAACACAAACAAAAGTTCTGATAAAGAATTTGTGTTTCTAGACTCTTCGTTACCATACAGTAGGTGTCTAAAATATAATAGTTTGCAATTCCCTAAACACAAAGTACGTTCTTTTTAAGAACTTTATTTTCGACGCGTCAAGAAAAAAAAAATTATTGTCCCTTTTCTAATTTTGTCTGCATTTTTGTTTGTTTATAATTTAGCAAAAACTAAAGTAATGTACAACGAACAAGTAGACAGAAAAGACATTCTAATAAATAACAAAACATTGGAAATATTAGAAGAATATATATATTTGGGACAACTAATACACAGCTCGGGATCTCTATACTACTAGAAATCAACAGAAGAATTAAGTTAGCATGGAGTATTTATGGAAGAAACCCAATCATGTTGAAATATAGAATGCCACTTTATCTGAAGAAGGAAGTATTCGACAAATGTGTACTGTCATGACCTGGACATGCATGCGAAACCTGGACACTTAAAACGGACATTATAAGGAAACTCAGGTCGCACAACGCTCAATTGAACGAAATATGCTGGGAATAACTAAGAAAGACCGTAAAAGAATACAGTGGATACGACAAAAGACCCAGGTAATAGATGTCTTCCACAGAATCAAACCAAGTGGAGAACCTTGAAGTGGCAATAGGCAGGACACCAGACAAGAAAGACGGATAATAGATGGACCAAAAAAATTACAGCATGGTACCCAAGAGACCTAGAAGAAGACCAATTAGGAAATTAGCAGGGATAACTTGGGCCCACATAGCCAACAATGTATCCAATCTCAAAGAGAGTATCTAAATATGTGAGGAAGACAATGTATGACAGTGATTTATTTTACATCATTATTGTCAAAATATCAAACATTGCATATTTTTCCGTATTGAACATCTGGCAGGTTTAGAAACAAAAAATATATTCAGGTACAAAACTCACCGTTAATGTTTGTACTATTGGAGCCTCACAAGGACTGAGGATGGTGTTCGGACTCTGCCTCACTCCCAAAGGTTGTCTGGGACTCACAGCCGCCTGCGATTTCTTCTGACTCAGCACCGATTGAGCATCAAAAGCCCCCACGGCAGGATGCGTCTCCAGCGCACACTGAAGATCACAAATATAGTCTATAACGTGTTGGATCACTTCCAGTTTGGAAAGCTTTCTGTTTTTCGGCATGAAAGGTACTAGATCCTTTAACTTGCTAAGGTACATTTGGATTTCTTCGTTTTCCACGTCTTTCTGTTTGGATTTGGCGACTCTGCCAGCGGCTACAGCTGTCTCGGCGCATACTTGAGCTATTACTGCCTTCATGATGACTTGAATAAAGGTGAATCACGCACAAATTCCAGAGGAAATCAAACGCACTACCGCACTTTGAAATGCTACGCAACGATAGAACAGTTGTGAACGATTAAACACGATGTTGTCGCTACGAGGTCGCGATGGGAAATGTTGGAGATATGGGGAGAGATCGGCTTTTATAGTTGGTTAAGGGGGAAGCGAACGGGCCAATCACAGGGAGCGATTTAGGGAAGTGGGGAGGAGCGAACAGGTAAGCGCTGGGCGCCAATGAGAAAGTCTAGGCGCCTGGCGATGCGCTGGCTTGGGACGGCGTTGCCAAATGGTGTGATTTTATGTCAGCAGCTGCGTTCTTTTATTTTGAATTTGTACAATCAGTCTATAATAAGTTTAGATTTCTACCATCCTTCTACCACAATCTTCTACACTATACACCTCCTCAAAAGTCCTACAAATCAAAACGCGGTTCTATGGTAATATAATTTCGTTTAGAATTTTAATTAATGTCATATTTTTTTTTGTTTTAAAATGTTGAAAAAGCACAAACTTGTTTTGGCAGCATATTCTGCAGATAAAAATAAGTAAAACAGTTCGTATAAATATACGTCCTAAAATACTTAGTTTCGGAGATACAGTGTGTAGAAGTTTCGATTTTTTTCCAAATAATTTAAGAAGTAACGTCAATATTTGAATAAAAATTAGTACTGTGTCTGGGAGTTTTTTGACATGAAATATTTGATTTTGATGTCAATATGACTCCTACTTGTGCAGGGCGCCACCTATATATTTTTTAACTGGTTTGAAGAGTAATAACTTTTTCGTCTGTACCTGTACAAAACTACTGAGTAAAAAATATACATTTACAACGTTTTTTACGTAAAAAAGGTCTCTTGGTAAAAATCGCTACAAGTAATGATTCTCGAGATATTTGGAATCGAAATTATCAATACCTGTTATCATTGACACAAATTAAACATAATTATATATAAACAATTTATTATTTCAGACAAATAACTAATCTACTCAACGTTTTTATTTTTGTCAATAATTAAATAAATTCAACGTTTTTGTTTTTTGTCAAAAATGACATGTATTGACTATTTTTTAGAGAAGAGACATTTTTTACGTAAAAAGTCACGGAAATGTATATTTTTTCACTCAGTAGTCTTATACAGGTACGAACGAAAAGTTATTACTCTTCAAAACAGTTAAAACACATGTAGGTGGCGCCCCCTACAAATAGGAGTCATATTGATATCAAAATCAAATTCGTCATGTCAAAAAACTCCCAGACACCAATTTTCATCCAAATATTGGCGTTACTTCAGAAATTATTTGGAAAAAATCGAAAAAAAAATGAAACTTCTACACCCTGAATCTCCGAAACTGAGTATTTTAGGACATACATTTATACGAGCTTTTTTTACTTATTTTTACTTACTTATTAACTCCCCTCCCGAACATTCTACATTCTACTTATTTTTATTTGCAGAATATGCTGCCGAAGTTTCCGAAATACAGTTCGGACCACCCTGTATAATAGTTATTAAAATATGTGATACAATAGTTTGTATTCAGTTCTTTTTTTGTTTTGAATCACAACAAAAACTAATTTTGTTGTGTTCTTTTTAGTATTGAAAATACTTCTGGCCGCGTTTATATGGGACCCATCTTTGAAAAAACGACATGCTAGAGGCGACATGGAGTTCATTAACCTGCCTAATCAACTTGTCAACACGTAAGTCGATAACTGAATAGAGCAAGGCCGTCCAAAGGCCGAAATGAGGTCTTATTAGTGTGGGCCAACTATTTTGGCGGATATGGATGTTTAGTCTCTGAAAGCCGATATTATTATAAAAAGAATATGCATCAAGGGCATGGGTTGTTAAGTACAGTTGGGCTATTTTAATCTAACTCTTTCCGTATGAGAAGCAGGGGCAAATTATACGTGAAAGAGCGGAATAACTTTATAAATAATAAATTTAGACTAATGCAATATTTTTTCTTGGCGCGTAAGGATAATGCGCACAATCGATGCATTAAAGGGAATAATTAATTAAATCATTAAGTTCCAAAACATATAATAATTCGGGTCTCATCGGATCTGCTGATATATTTTGATAACATTTAGGCTATTAGGACCTATATTTTTTATATGTTAATTATTTTTTTTTTTTTAATTAACAACTTAGGACAAAAGAAAAAAGCTTGCATGGTTTCCACCGCCAACGTAAAACAAATGAATTCAAGGCGGTGCCAAATATTTATTGGGATAAGTTTTTATCGTTTAAATATTGTTGTAAATAATAATTATCATTTAATTAGTGCTAACTTATTAAATTTGACAACACGGCGAAATTTCAACAAAATCGGCTAACGGATCTTTGAGATATTAATAAAAAAGGTCTATTAGAAAACACCTTGACACCCCTGTATCTTTAAAATTATACATTTCCGGACACATGTTTATATGAACTTTTTACCTTAAAACACTCAAAGAATCACCTCCTGAAGTTTGGCCAGATACTTAATTAACATCCTGTATTTAAAAATGGCTAGCTAGTGATTTAGTAAACTATGTTTTTATTTTAATAGGGAAAAAATCATTTCATAAAAATAAACAAACCCATAATACAAATACTATACACCAATTAATTAATTTTAATTGTATCTAAAGGCGCTTTAATAATTGAAAAATGGACAGGAGCACTTAAAAATAACTTCATAGAGTATACCAAATATGCTAAAAATAATAATTCCAATAAAAAAACACAAATGGCACATTAAAATCTGCATTATCTGAAATCAAACTATACTAAACGGCTAATAAAATAATAGAGACAAGACTCCAACATCTATAACAAGATGAGCAGTTTTTAATAATTATTCCGAGTTATTATTACACACTTGTTTTACAATTATTATTGTAATACAGTAGCATTCCTTCAAATAAATTTTGATTAAAGTATTGTTAATATAGTCATATTAATGATTATAGCCCGTATGATTTCTAAAATAAATAATCAAGCGTGTTTTTATCAGAATTATTAAATGATTAAGTAGAAATAGTTAATATATTTAGTAACTTCGTAATTGTTATATTTTAATATAATTATGGATTTAATAATTAAATAATTATCTTAAGTTTAAATTGTGGTAAACTTGTATGAGTGTCAATCATTTTATATTTAAAATCTTAGGGAAGGCAATATAGATTTTAGGCAGGAGAACTCAAGAGAACGACTGTGTAATTAGTAATTAAGACTTTACAATTTTTTTTTTTGCCATTTTCTCTCGTTCGTTGCGTTGACTCTTCGGTGTGTCACATACAATCTGAATTTCGGATATGATGCAGAACTGATAAATTGGACCAAATATATTAATTGCAGGTAATCAAAAAAATATTTTTGTTAAGTTTGCAAACATTTAAGGCACGCAATAATTTTAAAAATTTTTGACGTGAGATTACTTTATAATTCTTGGAAGTCTTGGATGATAAAGATTTGAATTATTATGGGTCTGTTTTTGTTTAAGAAGCTAACAAATAATTTCAAAAACTCAACTATCAAAATATAATGGTAGCAAATTTTTAAAATCATGCATAGCTATAATGTTCTATATTAATTGGACATACTGAATGTAAAGCTAGGTATAGTTGCTTGCAATCGATAATATATTTTGTTGTTTTTTCATAAACACACAACATTTTCATCATAACAAAAAGCGTCAATACCGCTACTCATATTATGGGCACCTATAACTTAAATCTCATAATGATGTTTAAAAATACATAGGTATACATACTATGAGTAGTGGTTTATGACAACACTAGGTATGATGAAAGAAGCTACAAACTAAGTTATCGTGGAACTATATTTTAATTTATTTTTATCTACAGTAACTATTACTTATTTTTTGTACGGCGAATTAAAATTTATGGACCGTCCATAGAATTTACACCGTAAGTTGAATATTAGTTAAACCTAGAAATACCCAGGTAATAGCCCGAAATATGCAAAAGAGGGAGTGAGTTTAGGTTAGATTAGAATTAGGTTTTAGTTGGTTTTGCATTAATAAAATATAGGCCTAATCTAAACTTAACCTAAAAGTGACCTTTTTGCATATTTCGGCCTCCTACAGTGGGTAACCTACGTTTAACCAATATTCGGGCTTTTACGGTAACATAATACTCATTCTGATTGGTTTTATCTGGCTCCATAATGAAATTGTGGGTTCGAGGTGCTATTGCAAATTAATTCCATTAATTCTATGTATATATAGACATAAAATACATACCTCACATTTCTATAGTGTCGTGACCGTGATCGTGACCATTCATGAATCCGTACACGTTCATCTCCATCATTAATATTTTTCTCACTAAATTCTTCACTTTTATAAAAAGCCATCACGATAAAAATCAAATATCAAAATACAATATCGCTATACGTATCTGGAATATATTTGCGAATGGCAATTAGCGATACGTTGCCGGAGTGCTGACTTCACGAATGTCAAATTGCTTTCCGAACAAGCTTTAGTTCTTTTATATTTCTATTGAGCTCTTCCAAATGACGTCACAAGTTAATATAAAATGTAAAAAACAGGTGATTGCTGACCACCGCCGACTTTTGTGTCTGGTATTTTCAATACGCCTATGATGGTTGCGCATGTTGCAAAATCTGTGAATTTTTTTCTTAAATTTAATACAAATTAGATTGCTTTAATTTAATCTTTTTTTTTGTTGCAATTCTGTTTTTTTTCTTAATTTTAATACGAATTTGATTGCTTTGGTTTCCACATTTTCATTCGTGGTTCTCTACATTTTTATTAATGTTTCTTAAAATTTATTTCACTATGATCTTTTCAAAAATGAAAACGATGAATTTTCGCAAGGAATTTCTTGAGTATTTAGGCTGTGATTTAGGTTTACAAGAACATTTAGAATACAAAACAGAAACGTGTATTTATGTATGTTATTTCAAGATATAAATAAAACATTCCCGCCAGAATTTTTTTGTGTATTTAGTGTTTATAATGTATAGTGTTTATAGTGTATTTAGTGTTTATAATGTATTTAGTGTTTATAATGTATAAATGATAAAAAAAAATCAGTTATACTAAAGTCGGAAAAAAGAAAATTATCCATTTCCGCAGAGAATCT